ACCATAGTTCTGAGTCACTTGCAGGTACGTACAGTCTCCGTCGCATGGTCATTCCTGGCTGTGGTCTGAGCTCTTATGAGAAAGACAGACTGGACGTAGGTCCCAACTATAATGAACTAGTCACCCAAGGGCTAAATATAGCCCGGAGATATATTGTGGTGTGTGTGTGTGTGTCTGTGTGTGTGTGCGCGCGTGTGTGTGTGTGTGTTTAATTGCACCCATGTTTAAAAGTCAAAAATATTTACCGAAAAATTCTAATTTCAACCTATAGAACCCATCTAGATTATGAGCAACATGTGGGGGAGTCCACATCTTGGCCCCTTGGGGATGCACATCCCTGTGCAACCAAGTCACTGGCCTGTGGATTTATTCATTCATTCCACAAGCTTCTATGCACGTGTCTTCTCTTTTAGGAGACAGTTTGGAATTTATCAACATTAAATGACAGAATAGCAATAAATTAGAATGTCCAAGTGAAAAGAAATATCATCGTGTTATGATCCTTTCTTTGTTTCCTGAAACCTACCGATGTCTTGTTGCTCTGTAGAAGCTAAGCTAGCACGATGGTGTGTGGACATTCATTCAGTAAATATTAATTGCTTGATGGTTAGAAACAGAACAATAGTGAAGACCCACCTGTTTTGTTCCTGGAGTTCTTGGTGTAGGTGTTGCTTTTAGCCCTCGTGTTTTCCTTTCCTGGGGGTGTTAGTTGTCCCTGGTTTGGTGATACATGGAGACAACATGACCAAGCCTTTTTAGTCAACTTTTGAGGCAGTTTAGGGCTTGAGCATTGATTTTTGTCAGTGTGCTATCTCACCACAGACTACTTAAGGAATGCATATGTAATAATTTCCAAATTGTTTTCTTTGAAGGGTGTGGAATTTAACAAACTTTTCTTTGTCATAATCCTGAAGTATCTTTGACCATCCTGCTTTTTTAAAAGGTGGCCTCCCCCATCTGGGTTCAGAAAGGAAATATAAGCAGAAAACCTTCAATACATGCCCCATCCATCTGTAATTCAGTGGCAAACTGGATCCCCAAGACTCACTTCACAAGAATTTGGGTTATGTGAGGAGATCATTTTTGTTCCCCATCAGGAGCAAACATAAAGGCCCCTTGTGTTTCTCTGAAATTTTTCTTTATTGTTTCCTCCCATTCTTCATTTATCTAAGGTTCAATGATAAGTGGTTGAGATGGTTTTTACTGTATATCTAACAAGCTCACATAAAATCTAATGACATAAATAATTGTCAGTTCTTACTGAAGTTTCTTGCCTCTTTTCCTCAGTGTTCTTTGTAAAGGAAGGGTATGTATGCATTTGTGTGTGTATGTACACGCACACACAAACACACAAACGCTCATACTCATGCCCTCTCTTAAAATTTCCCATAAAACCTCCACTTTTGAAATTATCCAGGATGTCCTTGAGTGGTTGGTTCCAAATCCCAGAGGCTCAAGAGGTTTACATATTGCCGACAGATCAGGCTCACTCTTTGCATTGCCTAATGCTCTTCTCCCTCCTAGACCCTCAGCCCCACCTCCTCAGTGCAGTCTGCATTGACTGCAAATTAGCAGTCATATAAAGCCCCAACAATTTGCAGATGATTGCAGGACAACTTGCTGACATAGAGGGCAGAATCTGAACATCTGACGTTACTCAGGAGAAAGGACAGTTAGTAGTGGTTGCTTAAGAACTTTTTTCTTTAATATTTTTAAGTATGATACAAATTATCCTAAAAAAAGTTGGGGGATTTTTTTAAACTTCTTAAATGGTCTCCCTCAGTAAATAGAATGAGAAAATATTTTTTTAATCTCTCAAAAAGAAACTCGGAAGGCTCTTCCATGCAGATTGACAGTATCTAACAAATTAAAAATGCATGTACTCTTTAACCCAATTTTTCTGCTTCTAGGATTTATGCTAAAGATAAAAATTCCCACATAGATACAAAGATTTAAGCAAAAAAGATGATTTATTGAAATAGCATCATAGCAAAAGACTGGAAACAACTTGAATATCCATTAACAGGAGTCAGGTTAAGTAAATTATAATGCATCCACCAGTGGCACACTACACATCTATTAAAAAAGAATAAGCTAGGTGTATCTAATATGGATCTCTCTTTGAGTGATTGTGAAAAAAAGCAAGGCACAGGAGGACTACATGTATATTAGGATCCTGGGTTTTGTTTTTTTTTAAGTGTAAGTATAGTTTAATACCCATATTTGCATAGGAAATTTCCGGAAGGATTTAAAAGCAACTGTTAACATTTTCTCCGGGGAGAGAACTAGAGTTAAAAGAAAAGATGAGATGTAATAGACAGTCTTTAATCCATTCCACTCAACAACAGCAAAATACATTCTTTTTTTCAAGTACATATGAGACATTTACCAAAATAGACATATTCTGGGCCTTAAATCAAGTTTCATTACATTTAAAAGGATCCGAGTCATACAAATAATGTTCTCTGAAAACAGAATTAAATTAGAAATAAATAATGGAAAGATTTTTGGAAAACTACCAAATATTTGAAAGCTAAAGAATACAGTTGTAATAACCCATGAGTGATAGTTAATTTTGTGTGTCAGCTCGACTGGGCTAAAGGATGCCCCAGTCGCTGGTAAAACATTAATTCTGGGTGTCCGTGAGGGTGTCTCCAGAAGAGATTAGCATTTGAATTGGTGGACCGAGTGGAGAAGATAGCCCTCCCCAGTGTGGGCCGGCATCATCCAATCCATCCAGGGCCCACATTGGAACAAAACGGCAGAGGAAGGGCAGTTTTGCTCTCTTGAAGAGCTGGGACATCCATCGATCTTCCCCTGACCTCAGACATCAGGGCTCTTGTTTCTCAGGCTCTTGAACTCAGGCTGAATTATACCACACCTTTTCCTCATTCTACAGATGGCTTGCAGATGGCAGATTGTGGGATTTCTCAGCCTCTATAACCATGTGAGCCAATTCCTTTAATAAATCTCCATATATGGAGATTTGTGCACTCGTGTGTGGGTACAGCCTGAATGCGTCCACCTGCAAACCAGGAAGAGGACTCTCACTAGGAACTAAATTGGCCAATGCCTTGATCTTGGACTTCCCAGCCTCCAGAATTGTGAGAAATAAATCTCTTGTTTAAGCCATCCAATCTATGATATTTTTGTTATAGCAGCCCAAACCAACTAAAATAGGATAGCGACAAAAAATCAGAAACAACACAAGGAAGTCCGTTTTACCACTTCCCTCCAACATGTTCTGGAGGTTCTAGACATAAGACAAGAAAAATAAAGGCATCTATATTGGCAAATAAGCAAAATTTCATAAAGTAAGTAAAATGACACAATCACCGTTGTAGAAAATCAGATAGAATCTACAAAAAAGCAACTAGAACTAAAAAGTTGAATTTAGCAACACTGCAGAGTACTAGGTAAGATATAAAAATCAATAGTATTTCCATATACTAATAACAAACAACAAAAAATTGAATATTTTTAAATGCCATTTACAGTAATGTCAACAAATATTTAATATTTGGGGATAAATCTGATAAAAGATGTGCAAGGTGTGTACACTTAAAACTATAAAACATTACTTAGAGAAGTTAAAGATTTTAATGAACAAAGAGATATATACCTCACTCATAGATCAGAAGACTTAATATTGGTAAGACATCAATTCTCCACAAATGGATTTATAGATTTAATGCAATCTCTGTCAACATCCCAGTCTTTTCTGCAGAAATTGGCAAGCTGATTCTGAACTTCCTATGGAAATACAAAGGTCCTAGAATGGCCTCAACAGCTCAGATATAGAGGAACAAAGTTGGGAGGCTAACAGTGCCTGATTTTAAGACTTATTGCAAAGCCAGAGTAATCAAGACAGTATGCTACTGCCATACAGACAGACAAGTAGATCAATGGACCAGAATAGAGAGTTCAGAAATAAATCCACGTGTGTACGGACGATTGCTTTTTTTGATGCTTCATTCTTTATTTCCCCTCTGCCCTTCCACCCAGAACAACTGATTTTTGACAAAAGTTCAAAGGCAGTTCAATGGAGAAAGGATGATCTTCTCAACAAAAGATGCTGGAACAAGTGGATATCTATGTTCAGAAAAATCGCACTTTAATCCATACCTCACATGACATATAAATATTAACACAAAATAGATCGTAGACCTAAATATGAGACTATAAATCTTTAAAAAAAAAAAAAAACAGGAGAAAATCTTTGTGACTTTGAGTTAAGCAAAGAGTTCTCATATATAACACCAAAAGCATGATCCAAAAAGAAAAATAATGATATAAACTGAACTTCATAAAAATTTCAAACTTTTGCTCTTCAAACAACATTGTGAGGAGAATAAAAAGACAAGCCACAGTCTGGGAGAAAATATTGCAAAGCATATATCTTTATTTAGTCAGAGTTATCCAGAAACAGAGCCAGTGTAGTGGAAGAGAGATCCAATTATAATAATAATTGATCATGTGATTATGGAGGCTAAGAAGCCCACGATCGGCCTTCTGCAAGCTGGAGAACAAGAAAAGCCAATAGTGTCATTTGGTCCAAGTCAAAAGGCCCGAGAACCAAGAGCTCCAATGTCTAAGGGCAGGAGAAGATGGATGTACCAACTCGAGTAGAGAGCGAATTCGCCCTTCCTCTGCCTTTCTGTTCTATTTGGACCCTTAATGGCATGGATGATGTCCACCACACTGGGGAGGACCACCTTCTCTACTCAGTCCACTGATTCAAATGCTAATCTCTTCTAGAAACACTCTCACAGGCACACCCAGAAATGATGTATTACCGGCTATTGGGGCATCCCTTAGCCCAGTCAACTTGACATAGAAAATTAACCATTACATACATGTACCCACAATGCATAAGGGACTCTCAAAATCCAAGAATAAGAAAACAACCCAATAAAGAAATGAGCAAAATATTTAAACAGACACTTTATCAAAGAAGGTACACTGATGGCAAAAAAGCACATGATTAAGATGCTGATCATTAGTTATTAGAGAAATGCAAATTAAATCCACAATGAGATACCACTACATACCTCCTAGAATGGCTATAATCACAAAGAATGAGCATGCCAGATATTGGCAAGGATGTGGAGCAACTAGAATTCTCTTGCCCGGCTGGTAGGAATGTGAAATGGTACAACCACTTTGGAAAACAATTTAACCATTTTCTTAAAAAGTAAAACACAGACTCTACCATACGACCTAATAATCATACTTGTAAAAAAGAAAGCTTACGTCCACGTAAAGACTGATATGTGAATATTCATAGCAGCTTTATTCCAGTCAAAAACTAGAATCAACCCAAAATGTCCATCCTCGGATGAACAGATTAACAAATTGTGGTATATCCATACAATAGAACTGTACTCAGCAACACAGATGAGTGAACTATCTATACACATAACAACATGGATTAAACCTCGAAACAATTATGCTGGCTGAAAGAAGCCATGTATATGTATACTGCATAACTCCATTTGTTCAAAACTCTAAAATGCAAAATAACTTATAGTGAAAGAAAGCAGATCCGTGGTTGCCTGGGAGGGGAGCAGGAGGAAGAAATTACAATAGGATCATAAGGGAACTCTTGAAGGTGCTGGGTTTGTTCATTATCTTGATATGGTGATTGTTTCATAGAGTTATACATATGTCAAAACTTAAATTGTGCACTCTATATATATATGGCTTATTATATGTCAATTACACCTCAATAAAGCTGTTAAAATAAGTAAAAACATAAAAGAGGAGAAAGAAAAAGAGTAAAATAACTCCAAGAAAGATTTACATAAATTTACATAAATTTACATAAATTGCTCTAGCTTGTGACCTTGAACTGTGACCTTGAACTTTGACCCTTCATTCTCAAGATTATATAAGGTTGGGAAAAGTGTTGCTTTTTTGGCACCCCTAATAAATTGGCTTCCCATATACCTTATTTAGATATTTCTAAATACCTGGTGTTTCTCCCTCTTTTTAATAATATTTGCCTGGATTTTAATGGGGTCTACAAATGTTTTCCAAGGTTCCATAACCTTAGAACAACCAAGTGAATCAGGATAAACCTTATTTACATGACTCATAAGCATCTGCGATTTTATTTACTGCCTATTCCTCATCCTCCAGAAGGAAGTCTTTGCTAGATCAGTGTTTGGGAATCTCTAATGCTGTACCCTGAGAATGATGGGGAGTTGGAGATGACCCAGCAGTCCCGACAAGTCAAAATCACATCTTTTCTTAGTATGTCCTTAGTCTGTTAAGAAGTTTTATAAATATTAAATAAACAAAGTTCAGTCCTCTGGGTTTCAGAGGGAAATAGTCCTTCCCGGGTAGGGAAAAATACTCAGTCCACTGCCAAGTATTTTTAAACAAAAGCATTTCCCCCTGATGATCCAAGAACTGGTGATTATGGAAGGAGAGATGGAGTCTACAGAATACATTTGGGAGCTAAACAAGCAGCTGTAAACTGAGAAGGTGGGAGAGGATGTCCTGTTTCCACGCTGGTTTATAGTTCTGTCACTTCCGTCAGCCCACTAAGCCTCAGTTCCCTTATGAGTTAAAGATAATAAAGTCTAATAAAAAGCCTATCTTTAAAACTTCTGTGCTTGAAAAACAACACAACTTGGATGCTGACTTTAGGACCTGAGTCCCAGGAGGATGCCGCTCACTTGTTCAGGGCCTTTGGACCATTGTCCAAGGGCACGAGCTTGGCATCCTCTCGGCACCCCGTGTCCAGAAACACCATCTCAATCAGAGGCGGCAGGTGCCCGCCCTCTGCCCTGCACCTTTTCACTGATCTTCGTGTGTATGTGGGTCTAGTTGAGCCAGAACTCAATTCAAGTCATTTACTCACACCTCTTTATTGCCAACCCTGTGCTGGATGCTTTTGAGTATATAACTTCATTTAATTCTCAAATGGATATATCTCTTAACAAGTAAAGCTTAAAAGACTTGCTTTTAATAGAGAATGGAGCAAGTCTCTTAATGGCAGAAGAGTTTGAAGCCCAGCTACATGTAAATATTTATTTTCTTCCTCTGTTGGTCTAGGGATGCTCAGGCTTAGGATATGTAAAGGGTTACAAACACAAAACTCTGCTCACTGTAGAGCTCCCCCAGCGGCCCCACCCTCACTTTTCTCAGATCGCTGCTCAAATGTCCCCTTATCCGTGAGGCCTTCCCCAACTAGCCCCATATAAGTCAGTGACCTCCCAGCACTCTCTGTTCCCCCACCATGTGATTCTCTATAACACATGTCCCTACCTGGTGTATTATTTATTTCCTTATTTGTCTAATGTCTCTCCTCCCTCTAGAATTTAGGTGCTATGAGAACCAGTACTTGGAACTATTCCTACTAAATAAATCTTTATTGGATGAATGAATGATTGTGAATGAACGACTTAAGGGACCATCAAGAGCGATTTTGATTCTGCATGATCTTTGCCTTCGAGGCTGCCTTTGGGACCTTCCACTTTGGCATTAGGTGGTTCTGGTGTGACGTTTCCTGGGAGGAGATGCTCAACAAAGCTTCTGACATGCCCACCATGCCCCTTCCTCCACCAGGGGACTATAACACACACAATGGACCTTCCACTCCGGCAAAAGAGGGAGATACGGACAGGCCACACAGGGCCTCTGACGGGAAGCTCCGAGGACGGTCTAAGCGGAGCAGTGACCCCTCCCCAGCAGGGGACAACGAGATCGAGGTAACGCCAGCCGCCTCTGTTTGTCTTGGTGAATGTCCTCTCCATCTGTGGCCAGAACGGGAGGGGGACGGGGACAGAGTCTGTCCAAGTACATGGGGGAGAATGGCCCTCTGTCCTCACAAAGCACAGTAACGGAAGAGAACACTTGAGGGACAATAGGGAGGAATCAGGTTGGCCATATGGATGCACTGTTGACAGGCAGCCTAGGAAAAGTGACTGTGGAAATGACAAAGAACAGTGGTTCTCAAACACAGTAGCAGCAGCAGAATCATCTGAGGGTTATGAAAACCCAGACAGCCGGGGCCCCACCTCCAGAGTTTCCAGTTCAGCAGATCTGAGAATTTGCATCTCTAACAAGTTCCCAGATGCCGCTGATTTGGGGACCACACTTTGAGATCCCCCAGTAAAGAAGACAATGGGCAGTGGACCTTCCCAGCTGGGTCAGAGTGGTTCTTAACCCTGGCTACGTATTAGAATCACCTGGGATGCTTTTTAAAACGCCCAGGCCTCACCCTCGAGAGATTAAAATAAATTAAATTAAAACACGGCGAGGGGGAGTTCTACAAGTTCCCCTAGTGATTCTAATGTGGCAGAGATGTTTATCTACCTGGAGACGGGAGGCTGGCTCAGATGAGTGTGCATGGTTCCTGTGATTCTGAGTTTCTCACACAGTGGTTTTCGACTGGGGCTGTACCTTAGAATCTCCTGGGGAGCTTTGAGAAATCTTCATTCTCAAGCTGCTCCCCACATCATTTAAATCAGATTCCCTGAGGGTGGGACCCAAGCATCAATATTTTTAAATTCCCCAGGTGATTTCAGAGTATGGTCCAGGCTGAGAATGGCTGGTCTAAGGGATGCCCCAATCTTTATTGTAATAAGGGAAGTATAGGATTATTGGTCAGGCACTGACATTTTCCCAGACAAGCAAACAAAAAAGAACAGCACGCATGAGAGAAGGGGGAGGGTTTTAGTGAGGACAGAGGCCAGAGGAATGCCCAAAAAACAGATAGGAGCAACTGTTATCTATCAAGGGAGAAAAATGGACATGTGCACTAGTTCGTACTTCTTTGCAAAAGGCAGTCACTTGCTGGCTTGAGTGTGCTGTGGATATGTGTATAGTATTTCAAAGCTAGTGTCAGTGCCAAGAAATCCAAATGCTGCATCATCACATCCCTATTCATAATCCTGTCCAATATCTGTAGCAGTTACAAAGCTTAGCCCACAAATGCTAAGAAATATCATTTTCATCATTTCCTTAAAATCAAGGTAATTTTGACTCTGGGTCTCCATCCCATCTGGGTGGTAGGAAATTCTATCTCATTACTGAAGCACCTCCCCTCCCAGAATTGTATGAGAATCTCAGGGCTTGAGTGGTGTCAGAAAAAACAAGAAGCACTAATGTCTAGTGTGGCTTGCTTCGTCACTGCCACCTTCCTCACTGTCTGCCCACAGTGGTCAGTGAACGTCCGGCCATTCTCTGGGGTTTCCGTGCCATACATCAGGCATAGAAATCCTTGTTGAGGACAAGAATCTTGGAGTATTAACTACAATCCTTTGATTGCAAGCAACAGAAACCAGTTCTGGTTACTTAAGCCAAACGGAATTTACTGAGAGGAAGTCGTAAAACCAGTAACAGTAACAAAGGCCTTGCCAAGGAATCCAGGGAACCTTCTGGGTGCCAGCCTCTGCCAGAGAGTGAGCCATTTGAAATTCTAGTGCCACTTCAGTAGATGTCGATTTCAAGGAGACAGCATCCCATTGACCTGGCTTGGGTCTTATGCTTGCTCACAATTGCCAGTCCCACAAAGACAGTACACAATGGGAAAAGAAAACCAGGTGCTCTTATCAGAAGGGAGTGGATGCTGGAGACACAAACAACAAATGCCCACCACCAGGACGTTTGCTTCTTAGCCAGTATTCACTGGTAGGGCCGAATTACTTAACCAGTGTTGACTAGTAGGACTTTCACAGTTGTTTATGGCTGATGTCTGTTCCAGTCAGTCATCCCAGGTGTTAAAGAATTTGAACATCATGCTTGTCTCCCATGTCTGGTCACCCTCCAGCAGGCATCTCCTCTGAGAGCTTGACCACCATAGGAACCTGCAACAGAACAAGTGTTCCTACTGCTTATGGAACTATTCTCGGTCCAGGGGATTCTGTTCTTGCTTTTCCTCTGATTCTTAAAGGCCCCACCTTCCAAAATTGAGGAGACTTCACACAATCCCATCAGGAAAAGGCAAAAAGAATATTTATTAACCTCAGTTGTCCTTTCTGCCCTCCCATATTTCTGAGGATTTTCCAGTTTGAAGTTCAGAGCTATAGAAATCATGGAGAGCAACACATATTTCAGTATTTAAAAAAAAAAAAATTATTTGGTCACCGAACATGGTTTCTGCTCTTGTTAGGGGACAGTGGGGGCAGAGAGCCATTTTTCCATTAAACCGAGAAGGAGGTGGGGGGTGGCATGGAAGTCAGAGATTATGGGGTGATACTATTCTGGAAACATCTACTTCTTGATTTCCAGAGTAAGTACCGCTGGGCAAGCACAGTCGAAAAGGTGTGAGCCGTGTTTCACTTCTGTGCTTAATGTCAGCATGGAGGGTTCGCACAGATCGCACCTCTTAAGTCTTCGGCAGTTTTGCTAATGGTGCCCACGAGAGAGAAATTATATAAAGAAGTGGAAAGGAGGAAAATTCTGAGTGTATATTAGTTAAACTCCCTCGGCTGCAGGTGCCAGAAACCAACTTGAGCTAACCTAAGTGAGAAAGCTGAACTCATTTTAAGGATGCAGAGAGTCTCTTAGAACCCAAGGTCAGGGGTAGAGTGGAGTGTCAGCAAGACACTCCAGGGGTAACAGGGCAAGGAAATGCATTTACACCTCTCCCCCCACATGCCACAACGAAGATGCTAGAATCTGCAAGCAACGCTGGCTTTCCGATGGCTCTCCTCCAGGCCCCTCGTTCTGCTTCTGACTGAAACCAGGTCTCCTAAAAGTGTCGTCTTTCCATTTCTCACCCCTTTGTTCCTCTCTCTTTCTCTCTGAAGACTGGCCTTCTCTGCACTTCAGAACATGTGGCTACCAACAAAACCCAAAGGCAATGTATTTCTTTCTAGGCCCCAATTTTAAGTTCCCAGGAAAAGGCCTCTGACCCAGATAGAGTTAGGGGCCCACCCTGGCCCAAACCCAGTGGGCTAGGGAGTAGGTCACCTGCAGAATGGCCACCAGGAACTTCCACTAAGGCTCTAGGGCAGGGGAATAGACTGGTGGGCTAGTGGAGAAAGGGGACTGATTTTCTTCAGAGGGGATGTCATAGGTAAATTAATTGAACCTACGTTAAATTTGAAAATATTTGTGGATTTTTAAAAATTCTCTTACTAAAATATCTAAGTTTAATGGATCTAGTTAATTTAGATAAATTAGGATTTAGCATATTTAAACCCCAGACACCTTCCTCAAATACAGTGGTTTTTAAACATGATCCATAGGGTCTATACTGAGTATCATGACCCAGCACATGCATAGCCATCAATATAACTACCAGACCAAAAACTCACAAAATTATACTCAGGTCTGCTCATTGTTTGAAAACTCCTGCTCTAATCAACCTTTTTCGTTTTGATACCACCCTTCCCTTTAATTTTAAAGGCATGGCAAATGCTGATGGGTAAATACAGCCCCTGAGCTCCAGGGAGGTGTCAGAGGCACCAGTGGAGGGTCACACTGAGTAGGTACATTTGCCCCGCCCTCCCCCCTTCCCCGCCCAAGACCAGCTGCACAAATGATCAGTCAGGGCCTTCGTTGTTAAAAATAATGATCACCAGAAAAATGAGGACGACCGGCAGTATTAAAAGATAGGATAAATATGTTGGATAAACGTCAAGAAAGGTAATTTAAGAAACAGAAAATAACTTTTTAAAATTCTGATTGTTCTATAAAGATTTAAGGAGATATTACATTTATTAAATAAGAAGTGTCAGCTATTGGAAAAGGAACACTCAGAGACAGAGTTAATATAAATTTTAAAACAACAGCAAGAATCAAAAATGGAAGAGAAAGTTTAAGAAATCTCTCAGAACATAGATGAAAAAGACAATATTATAGAAAATATATTTTTAAAGATAAGTAATATCAATCCAGAAGGCCTAATTTGACTATTAGAAATTCCAGAAAGAGAGAACAGTGGAAAAGATAGGAGGAAATTATTTGAAGAGCTAAGACTGAAAATGCTTAAGTACAGCAACAGTATGAATGAAGAAAGACCACACCTGGGTATATCCTCATGGAATTTGAGGGTACCAGGTATAAAGAAAGATCCTAAAAAAAATCCTAGAGAGAAAAAAAATAAAACCTACAAAGGACTGACGACACGCTAAACGTCAGACTTCTCGATCATGCCGGATGCCACAAGATAATGAAGGAATTCTTTCAAAGATCTAAAGGACGTTCATATTCCAGATGGAATTCTGCACCCACAGGAACTGTGAAGCAAAATGAAGATATCACTAGATATGTAAAAATTCAGTAAGATTCTTTTCCATGCACCCTTTGAGAAGAAGCAGCTTAAGGATATATTCATGCAAAACAAGGAAGAAAATCAAGAAGAGATTCGGGATCCAGGAAGCAGTGGAGCTGACCCAGAAATAACGGTAAAGAGAAATCTCAGAATGCTCGCTATGCAGCAGGCCTAAAGCTGATCCAGTCGACATTGGAGCATTCCATCACCAAGGATGGACATCTTTGATACAGAAAGCGTGGCTGAATTTGCGATTCTAATGAAGGCACGTTATCGGAAACAAAAAAAATTATTTAAGCAACTAATAAATTCCAGCAAAAAACAAAAGTTAAACCAAACAGGCACGATTCCTATCTGAACAGACTGAGATGTGGCATGATTTTAATCGGGATGGAATGCAGGAAAGGAGAATGCATATGACTTTGATGGTGAGAACAGTCTCTTTAAAATGGCCCTGGGATTAGGACATTGGGCACATAGGGAAGGAAGTGGAATTATAGCATATTACTTGGCTCTGCAGTGAACATTTATCACAAGATGTAAGTGCTCTTTAGTGGTTACCAACTTTTCAAATCAACATGTAGACAGAGCACAGAAGGCTTAAGTATAGTTATAAAACCAAATATACAAACCAGTTTATCCACACTGACAATGCAAAGGTAAAGCTAAAGCTGATAAATATTAGAGAGGGGAGGAGATAAGGGAAGATATCGAATCTTCCATATCAGATTTACGGCTTTAGCCAAGGGAGAATGTCCACAGCTGATGGAATTAGAAATAGAAGGGTTCGCATGTGTGAAAAATATAAAGTTCTAGAGAAATGGTGGAGATTATCATGAGCTAAACCCAAATCTTTCAGATTGCCAAGTCAAAAGGTATTGTTTAATGTTGGCTCATCGATAAGTAAAGGTCTAAGTATGTTATGTAGCATTATGGAGTAACCACCAGCATTGCTAAAAACAGCAACGGTCAAGAGACTCACGGTGAGCTGTGAAGGTACAATGGTCGTATTTCATTTTGTCAAATGAGTTTTATAATTTTTATTGCTGATTTTGGACCGAAGCCCTCCTTTTTTTTGAGCTTTTATGTGGAAGGCAAAAACAGGCCTTTTGGTTCTGGAATCTGTTGGGTTGATAGGAGCCCAAAACTTAGCCATAAGCATATACTTTACACAGCTGAGGTTGGATGGGGACGCAAGGACGCATCAGTGAGTCACATGTTTTATAACTTAAAGATAATGTTTTTCGAGCTTGCTTTTTCCTCTGGGGAATAATTTCTGCAGACGTTAAGTCAGATGCAAGCAAATCCGTTTGTCTCCATTCTCTCCCCTCTTTCATCACAGCGTGTGTTCGTGTGGGACTTGGATGAGACAATAATTATTTTTCACTCCTTACTCACGGGGACTTTTGCATCCAGATACGGGAAGGTAAGAATCCATTTGTCTTCCTTTTTTTCCCCATCATGACCATCTGTCCAGCTGATTTGTCCTGGGAATTGTGGGGGCAGTTTATGAGGCGGCTTCTCCAACAAAAGCTGCTCCTTTGGGCCCACAAGGGTTTGAGAACACCTATGGAATTTTCTCTTGACATGTGAAAATTTAATTAGTTTCCTCTTTTATTGTCTCCCAAGCTTTTTCTTCTAACACATGAAGCGTTCGACATCCATTTAATAGACTATAAGTTCACAGTTGTTGGCTTTCTCTTAAGAGTACTAGGGTACGCTGCAGCCAAAACCAGTAATCCTAGCTAAAATCTTAGAGTCTTTTTCTTCTTCTCTGTTGTTTATCTTAGTGTCTCCAGCAGATGAACTTAATTTTCCTTTCATTTTTCTGAGACGGGGGAGGCATTTTGTCAGCTCCAGCATGGACCTTAGCAACAGCTTTGCAAATGTATTATCAGACAAATTATGTTGGGGAGCCATCCAGTTAGAATTCTGGGCAAACGCAATGGGCTGATCGGTGGTGAATGGAAGAAATATTGAAACCACCTGAATAATGCAAAAGTGAACCCAACTGCTAAAACCCAAACCCTGCCGATTGTTTGCACTCATCCCGAGGGCTTCCCAACAAACCACATGTGGATGCTCCAGACATCTGCCGTCTCTTCAGGGAGACAGGTGGGGGCAGAAGGGCGGAGCTTCAGAGCACTGGCGAGCTGTCATCTCATCCAAGGTGAGCGACCCGTTGGCAGCCGCTTCCACGCCTGGGTAGGAACCATGAGACTCACAGCGCCTGGAAAATATTTCTGTTTCTGTTTAGAGACCAGGAATATGATTTGACATCACCTCATGACTTTTCCAGCTGCTCGTGTTTTTTATGGGACTTATAACAAGCTGGATGTATAATTAGCAAGATAGATTTATCGTATGCCGTTATGTTGTAAAGAATATAAAAATGGTGTTGGTGGTGCAGAAATCTCTTACTGCGTAGG